GAGCTTTTCCCTCACCATTGTAACGCGCTGCTTTTTCAAGCTTCCGTGAAAACGTTTCAGCTTTTATTTTCCTTTTTCGCCTGAAGAAGATATCACAGGTTCATCAAGTTCGTCGAAATGATCCTCGATCACTTTTAGTCAGCTTTGACGAAACTCCTCTCAGCTAGCACGTCTTTTCAGAGTGAAAGTAGCCTTGTCACCTGACCTGAATACAGTGCGCTGATTCGCTGAAATGGACTTATCGGCTTCTGTTCAAAAACAACAAGGCGCTTGTCGGCTTCTGCAGTAAAACGTGAACTCACGATGCCTTGAAGTGGACAAAACCGGCTTTTTTGACAAAACGTGTTTAGGGTTCAGATCACGCTGTATGTGGAGAATTATTTTTTTTAAAGTGCCGATTATCGGTTTTTGCAAATGAACTCTTCATATTGAGACGGAGGCGCCAGAACTGCAGCTGATAGAATGCGCGCCGTAGCAGATCATGGAGACGTTTTAATCGCCCACGATCAAAACTCGTGATACTCGTGATGGTTTGAGCATGTGTGAGATTGGTGTGGCTGACCGTATCATCTCCGTCCACCTGACGGCCTCCTGCAGCTCCATCAGCCTCTCTTTATACTGGTTTCTCTCCATCAGGACTCGGGCCATCTCCACCCGCGTGAAGCGCTTGCGCTGGGCCGTCGGCACGCCGCTCTGAGGGAAACACGGCCCGTTATTGTTCAGCACAGTAAAACTGATCGTTTGAAATAGCATCGTCTAAAATACTGTTTCCATATCGGTACGTCTCTGCATGTGCTGCGAGTTCAACATGCGTCCGAGAACGCAACATGCTTTATTTTCACATTTGCATAATTTCCATCATTTGTTACAGCATTTGACTGGATTAGTAAAAAGAAGCGCTTGTGAACCTGTGCTCACAGAGACTTAAACATCTGCCTGCAGTTTTCTGCCAAAGTAAAAGCTTGATAAAAGCTTGAAAGTGAAGAGATTAAATCATACGTACTGTAATTTTATGACTATAATGTAAAACAATTTTTTTTACCTTTGAAATATTTTACAGTTTAAAAAGCCTTTTTCCAAAAGGTACATCTGGAAAAAGGGGGGGTCGTCTTATAATCAGGGCCGTCTTATATTCGGGCCAATACGGTATGTATTTGAAACATTATTATTATTATTTTTATTATTATAGAATCTCAATCTCAGACAGCAGTTTCAGCTGATAAGCAAATACTAAAGCTTGAGGGAACTTTATGAATTTGCAAGAGAATGCATATTGTAATTTTACTACAGTAAAAATTATTATAAAACTTTTTTTATTTTATTTTTACAATGCAGTTGTATTACAATAGTAATATATTTCTGTGTTCTTCTTATTATTATTAAATCAAGGGATCTAAATTATGGTCATGCAGAATAAGGCATTAATATATGCTTTATAAGTACTAATAGACAACCAATAGGCTAGTAATATGCATGCTAATAAGCAACTAGTTAATAGTGAGGATAGTATTAAGGGATCTAGAATATGATCATGCATTAATATACGCTTTATAAATACTAATAAACAACCAATAGGCTAGTAATATGCATGCTAATAAGCAACTAGTTAATAGTGAGAACTGGTCTATAAACTAAAGTGTTAGAATCTCAGTTTCAGTTGTGAAGAAAATACTAAAGCTTGAGGGTTTAACTCTTTCAAGTAAAGAAATTAAGTCATAAGTATTGTAATTTTACTCGTTTTAAGTCAAATAAATATATGAAATTATTATGAAAATATTATATTATTATGAAAATATTATTTTTGCAGTTGTATTACAATAGTAACATATTTCTGCCTTAGAATTATTATTAATATTATTATTAAATCCCAATTTTGCAGAGTTGCAGTTGATAAGAAAATAAAGTTTGAGGGTTTAACTCTTTCAAGTAAAGAAATGTAAATGCAATTTTACTAGTTTTAAGTAATTATATACTTATTATGAAAATATTATTTTTGCAGTTGCATTTCAATAGTAACATATTTGTGTCTTAGAAATATTATTATTTATTATTATTATTATTATTATTAAATTCTAATCTCATTCAAACAGCAGAGTTTCAGTTAAGAAAATAAAGTTTGAGGGTTTAACTCTTGCAAGTGAATAAATTAAGTTTGACGTACTGTAAAGTACTATAATTAATATACGTATTATGAAATATTCATTTATTAATATTATTATTGAATCCCAATCTTATACAGCTGAAATCTAATCCTAATTCACACTGCGTCCAGACAGATTTGTAATTCTGGCTTACATCATCGTCCTCTTTAGTCTTCAGTTTGGCTTCCTCCAGCTCAGCTCGGACTCTGTTTGCACAAAAACACACAAGCGTCGCTCAAGAAAAGCTGCTCTTTGGCTGGATTGCTGATCTATGTCACAGAGTCTAATGACGCACTTCTTGAGCTCCTCCTCCAGCTCTTTGTTCCTCTCCTCCAGTCTGTCTTTGGCCTGTTTCAGGACCTCCAGCTCACCCTGAAGAACGTCCTTCTCACACACCAGCTCATCCACACGAGCGATCAGGTCGTTCTTCACCACATTCAGAGCGTTCCTGCAGCAAACACACAACAAGAGTTGCATTTCATAAATCAGTGTGTTTTTCATCATTTATGTCAGCATTCATGCACGACTACAGTAAAGTTATGATTGAATGCATTGAGAAAAACGGCATGCTGTGAAATAATACAGACATTAGATATGCATTTCTATTGCTTGATCCTGTCTGATTGTATAAGACAGACAATAAATATACAGAACGTCCAGCGATGTCTGATTCAAAGGCAATTTAATCCAGTTCTTTTTAATGAATCATTCAAAGACTCAAACTAATTATTATCAGAGAAAATGACTCGTTCACTCACTGAATCGATTGAAATTTTTTTTTCTAAATATGCATATATAGTTTTATTAATATTTTGAATTGAGTTTTAGCATTTTTAGTGTTTTTTTCCTCTCATATTTTTTAGTGTTTGTTTTTTAAATATGCCTATATAGCTTTTCTTCATATTTTGAATGATTTTTTTTTATATTTTCAGTTTTCATTTTAAACTTTTAGGAAATTTTTAGCGTTTTGTCATTTTTATTAGTTTTAGTATTTTTTTTTTACTAATATGCCTATAGTTTTTTAATATTTTGAATTAGTTTTTCAATATTTTCTGTATTCATTTAAATGTTCATTTTTGCTTGATCCTGTCTGATTGTATAAGACAGACAATAAATATACAGAACGTCCAGCGATGTCTGATTCAAAGGCAATTTAATCCAGTTCTTTTTAATGAATCATTCAAAGACTCAAACTAATTATTATCAGAGAAAATGACTCGTTCACTCACTGAATCGATTGAAATTTTTCTAACTAAATATGCATATATAGTTTTATTAATATTTTGAATTGAGTTTTAGCATTTTTAGTGTTTTTTTCCTCTCATTTTTTTTAGTGTTTGTTTTTTAAATATGCCTATATAGCTTTTCTTCATATTTTGAATGATTTTTTTATATATTTTCAGTTTTCATTTTAAACTTTTAGGAAATTTTTAGCGTTTTGTCATTTTTATTAGTTTTAGTATTTTTTTTTTACTAATATGCCTATAGTTTTTTAATATTTTGAATTAGTTTTTCAATATTTTCTGTATTCATTTAAATGTTCATTTTTTGTGTGTTTTTGTCATTTTTATTAGTTTTTTTTTTAAACGCCTATATAGTTTTTTTATTAATATTTTGAATGAGTTTTTAAATATTTTTTTCTGTTTTCATTTTCATTTCAATTTTAAATTTCTTTTAATGGCTCGTTCACTCACTGAATCGACTGAAATGCCTTTATTACTTTCAGTTACATCAGACCTAAACTGAACCAAGAATTGTGTGCTTTATATTAAAAATGTAAATCTGTAAGGCTACTTACTTCATACTGATTTCATACTAGCATTATGTTGGTATTTTAATCTAGTATAATTCACAAAACAAGATCACTGCAGTCATTTTGACTTTTCAGTGCAGTTGCTTTCACTCAAGCATTGCTGTAACTCCTTTAAACAGTAGATGGCAGAAGAAGCATTGCATATGGAGTAAATCTGGACGAAATGCAAACCATTTGGAGTTTTTCAGCTGGCATAAGCCACATAATAATGCCACATCTTGACTTACTTTGTCTCCAGCAGCTGCGTGTTCTCATGTATCAGGTGTTCGACTTCACGACCCATACCTGCATGACAACAATATAAATCATGCACAGATCTCTAAAAACACCACGGATGCTGATTTGATTACTTATGAGACCGAGAACACTTTACCAGAGAAAAGAAATGATCAGGAAATCATGGTCACCAAAGAAATTAAGGTCTAAAATTAGCATGCAAACCAAAGAACGAGAAAAGGGTCAGTTAATGACCAAAACAGATGACATTAAATTATTAAGGCTCTATGAAAGAAAAACTGTATCCTAACCAGATGCAGCACAATTAAGCAATAAAAGCTCTCAATTCCTTGTAAATCTGAATTTATATTAACCAGCTGCCACAAGCAATTCTATGCAATTTATGCATCAACATCTTGCTATAAACATCCATGTGCTTTTGCTTCAGTGTGGACAGACAAGCTACTTGTTGCTGGAAACTTGTCGCGTAGCACCTAGTGAGGATACGGTGAACAAAATAAAGAGCAGTGTTAACATACACACCAGAGAACTCGTCTGGGGGAAAGAAAAGCCACAAATGAAGCGCCACAGACATGGAGGAAAAACAACATGATTAGATGGGCTGTGAACATTAGTGAGGAATGATGGGGTTAGATAAAAAGATGAATAAAAGCAGCTGATGACTGATGTCTCCACGACTAGAGGAGAATGACACGAAGGGAAAAAAACACAACAACAGTCTCACACACACTCTCTCACACACTCACACCACGTATTTATTCAGCTTTCAGCTGATGCATACATCTCAATTTCGAAAAATTGACCCTTATGACTGGTTTTCTGCTCCAGGGTCACATATGTACATCAAGCAAATGCAGATTGTTGCAAAAGTGTGGCTTATGGAGAATAAATGGTAAAATAAACAAAAACTGTGCAAATGGTGGTAATACCAAATAAAAATTATGTGCAACAAACACTGGTCTTCATTTGCAACATTTCTGAGTTCATTTCTAAGTTCTGCTGCCTCACGAAGGCACTCAAATCTTTCCAGTGGTGAAATCATATGCAAACAGGGTATTTAAGGTTTTTAAAAAATAAATTTAAGACCTTGTTTTAAAGACCTGCAAAAACATTCTGTATGGTTATACTAAAAAAACAATCCCATCCAATCTCAAAATAAATCCTGTATCTCACTCATTCAACTGCGAAAGAAGACAAATGTGAGTTTAACGTACTCGAGACATGTTTTATTCAATAAATAATTAGTTTGTGTACTAATATATATCAATAACACTTTAGTTTAGGGACCAATTCTCACTATTAACTAGTTGCTTATTAGCATGCCTTTTACTAGCATATTGGCTGTTTATAAGTACTTATGATTTACAGTATTTACACTTCATGGCGTTTCTATTGTAGTACTGTATGTTGTAGATGATTGCATGGTTTATCTGTTTGAAAGAGCAGCTGGAAGTGGTAAAGTATATGCATTACAAAATAAGAGTCCTGTGTATAGGTATATGGTGTATAGTGTAGCCAAAATACCAATAATATCCAGAAATAATTATTTTTATGCATAATGCGAGACTTTTAATTATAAACAACCTCGAAATGCACCAGGACTCTTGTTTTGTAATGCATATGCTTTACTACTTCCAGCTGCTCTTTCAAACAGATAAACCATGCAATCATCTACAACACTGCAATTTTTTGCGCCCAAATTTAAGACCGCTTAAATGATAATGAAGACTTTTGTTATACCATTTATGATTTTTAAAGACTTTATGGCCTTACATTTGATCAAACTGAATCGAAGACATTTGAAGATTTAAGGACCCCTTGAAACCCTGAGTGAAACATGCAGCGAAAGCAGAGCATTACAAACTGCATTTGGACTCTGAGACATTTGGACTCACCTGTAGACGGCGTCTCTGATGCCACAGCGATGTTCTTCCTGCTGTCTGGTTTAGCTCTGCTGGAGTCCAGGTTTCTGCTCAAACCCTCGGCTGCCTCCGTCTGCGGCGTGTCCACCGACGCACCAGAAAGCTCATCCTGAAAACAACCCCAGGTGGCATGAAGCATTACCGGCGGCATGAGCGATAAACTTCGCACTGAGACATATGAAGCATTTATGAATTAACAGTCATGGACCGCACATATGTGCTAAATGAGACTGGGCGCCGTCCACATTAATCATGAAGAATAACACATTAAATATCATCACCTCATGCTCTGCACACCATGCAACTGAAATCTTGTATGCTTGTAAATCTTGTATTTGATAATGGACTTTTAAGTAATCAAACAATTCCTGATCATACTAAATAGCAGAGAAAAACTTCACTTACAGCACATGCACACCACTGTTCAAAAGTTTGGGGTGAGATTATTATTTTTTTTTTAAAGTAATTAATACTTTTATTCATCAAGGATGCATTAAATTTAACAAGTGACAGTAGAGACATTTATAATGTGACAAAATATTTCTATTTCAAATCAACGCTGTTCTTCTGAACTTTCTGTTCATCTGTGAATCCTGAAAAATAAAATGCATCACGGTTTCCACAAAAATATTGTGCAGCACGACTGTTTTCAACATTGATAATAATCAGAAATGTTTCTAATAATCAGCATATTAGAATGATTTCTGAAGATCATGTGACACTGAAGACTGGAGTAATGATGCAGAAAATTCAGCTGCGCATCACAGAAATAAATTACAGTTTAATGTATAATCACATAGGAAACGTGCATTTTAAATTGTAATAATATTTCACAATTTTTACTGTATTTTTGATCAAATAAATGCAGCCTGGCTGAGCAGAAGAGACTTTTTTCAAAATCATTTAAAAAATCTTACCGACCCCAAAGTTTTGAATAGCAGTGTGATGATTTAAGTGAACAAAACATGTGATTTTTAGTCTCCACTTTGTACATTGAGCTTTTAACAATATGGGGGGGGGGGGACACTGACACACAAAACAAACATGATTTAGTGCTATCATAAACAATAAACAAACTTGAAGAAATATTCCAGGTTATTATTCACTACAGTTTAATGGTCATTTTTTTCAATACAATGAATAGGGAACGAAGCTTTAAAAAAAAAAAAAGATCTTTCAAGCTTCATAAAGCATTTAATAAGAGTATCGTAAAGACCTCCTACACGGTTGCTATTTTGAGAAGTTAGAAGTTGAAAATAACCGGGAATATTATTTTGACTACACTGGAGATTGCAACTGAAACTGCAAGCAATAACATCAACCACACAGATGCTGACAGCAACCACAACTACAGTTTAACTCCGACACCACCAGAGGCACTGACTGCATTCGTGAGCGATGGCTTTGGTGCTCACTCCTATGTGAGTTGGCCTATATGTTGTTTATATGTTAGTATGTGGTTGCAGACAGCAGTGTGTGGATGCACTGGAGACGAGCCAAACACAGCACACTACACACTGCGCTGCGCTGCGGCTGCTGTGGAGATTATAGCAGGACTAGCAGACGGGACTACCTTACTGGAGTCGCTCCACTGGGTCTCCAAATTCTCCTGTGAACTCTTACCATCCCCTCTCCAGAGGGATTCATTCGCCTCCAGCTGCCCAGAGAGAAACGTACAGTAAGCAACATTGCACTGCCCCTTTTTTTCTGTTTATCACACACTCTGCCAGGTGGCTGATGGGAACTGCATTGCTATTATGTAAAAAGAAAATCAGGCCAGTCCTTCCCAAAAAGCATCAGGAGTCCGCTTGTCAAATCCAGATTAAGCTGTAACTACAGTAAAATTAACTGTAGGCCAGGATTACACATAATCTGTCTCTCATGGTCGATCAACGCATGGCAGACACTTTCTTTGTGTATTTTTATGGTGCACTTTTTAATGGAGCCAGATTGAACTAAAGCTTTAAAACCAGATGTTAATGTCAAACCAGAAACTCACTGGCAGATTACCAAGACATTTTCTTCCTTATAATGACAGAACAATGACTAGTACACAACACAATAAGACAAGGTTCATGCACTGCAAAAAAGACATTTTGACTTCAAAGACCATTTTTTTGGCCACTGTAATAAAAACTTTTGTGATACCTTAATATCAAACCAGGCTCACTGGAAAAAACGTGCATGGGTTCTGCAAAATTATATCACGGTGCTACTTTTGATTATACGTTTTGCTACACTTTCAAAGTGAAATGTCCAGTGACATTTCAAAGCGCTTTTTATCTGTTTATCCAAAATTTTATTACATTGGATGTTGTACGTATCGTGGCATTTCGCAAATGAAGTGGCACTAAAAGGTTAACCACGTTTGAAATTAACGTAACACCGACACTAACAAAATAACAAAAGCAAACGTGAGATAAAAACACATGTGCTGTAGCAACCATGTCATGTTATCTAGCTTCTACAAGTCTCTGAGCTCTTTTATGGTGACTGGTGTTTGACGGACTCGTACCCGAGCGCTTCTCATCACAAGTGCAATGCTGCACCGGGTGCGCTACCGAGCAGGTTTACTACATCAGAACAGACACACATATGGAGCTGCTTATGAGATGACAACATCAAAATGTGTTAGTTTACAAATCATGCACCATGGTAAAAGTGTTATGAGCTCATAACATAGTATTGTGCAAAAAACCAGGCAAAAATAAGTCTTCATTAATCGACAATCTGCCTCTATAATCATAATCTAAGTGAAAAGGGATACAAGTTGTTGGTGTTTTACTGCCACTAGTGTTCATTTCAGCTGGAAAATGCAGTGAATTGTATGTTTAGGTTTAGGTGCTCACATGCTTTGAATGTCTTTCTCTATTAACACAGAACATCAGAAGAAACATAAGTGAAAATCTGAATGTTGAAGTTTCTTTTCTTTTGTTTGTATACACAGAGGCAAGACCGTATGATGGCACATTGTGAGGCCAGTGCCCTCCAGCTCTTCAGATAATGAGATGTTTTATTATTAATGGGATTTTTTAAACAGCACTACACCTGGTGACCGGGCTCTATAAAAAAACCAAAGCTCTCATTAAAATCAATCGGTTATGGAAGTGCGATGAATCCACAGGGACCGATAGCAGGTTTTACACTCCTGTTTGGAAAGCACAAACTTCAAAGCGCTCTTTCTCCTCCCTGACATATGCGCACAAGCCAACAAAAGCACAAGTGCGCACACACAAAACCTTGTTTGCAAGAGGCTCCCATACTCTCTAGGGATTCCATGGCAGCATGTGCCCACTTTTTCTCAGCGTGGAGGTTCAGAGCTGTTAAACCTGAGGAGGGGCTGACAGCAAGTCATGGCCTAGTTTCTCATGTCTCTCAGAAGCAGCAGCGCTGAGACTCTGGGGGATGATATGGAGAGAAATGCAGAGTCACGGAGCACACAAAGACCTGTCTGTATCAGCCCACAGTGGGAGTCTGAAACCGAGACGACTCACCAGTGGCCTTGATGGGGTCTTATAATGAGAAATCAAATATTCATTGATCTTCTCAAATAACAGAGTTGGATGTACACCTACTGTGACTTTTTTGTATTAAAAAAGGGCTTGAGCTTTCACAAACTTTCTGATGTCAGACCGATGAATGCATCAAGTCACGATGAGGTAATAGGGATGAAGCTGAACAGATAATATTATTCATAAACACCAGAAGAACAAGACAAGTTGCCAAGCGGTTTGAGCCAGCAGTTTCTGTATGTGCGTAGCACCTACAGCTCTGCACCTTCTTGCAAATGAATTGGAAAGAGTGCCTGATGTTCATTTTAACAAAACAAAAAAAATTGTTGTTTGCACACTATATGAAGCTTGTCATACAAAATAAATTTAAAAATAAAAAATAAAATAGTTTTGGCAGACCTTTTAGTCTTGTTTGGTGATAAGTCTTATTGACTGAAATACATGAAGTAATACATTTGTCTGAGTGCAACAATACTTCCTATTTTGCATAAGATTATTTTTTAACAAATCCCCTGATTAGTTCAGCTAATTGCAACACCAAAACCTTCACATAAAAGATCACTGAGCTCCACACATGGCATGCAGAGGGGAAAAACAAAACAAGATATAGTAGCCATGAATTAAGAATTAGTTCCTTTATTATAACTTATTAATTTGCTCCCTGGTTTTAGATAAATAACGCTATAGTGGCATGATTTAACTAAATTAAAATGAGGTAAAATAATTGTAAAATGTGGCTGCAAATTAATAAGTCATGAAAACAAATTCTTCATTTGTGGCCACAATATCTATTTTGTTTCCCCACATGTCATGCATGAGGCTCTGTATTTTAAGGGATACCAGCAACACTTGCAAAGTGGAGAAATCAAAAAGAAGTCAAACTGAAAATAATAATTAATAATTAATATAATTAATAAGAAATATTTATTTATTTTGCACACAGGCCTTCATCAGGGCTAAAATATTGCAAATTCAAAAAACTAATACAAAAAAACAAGCTTCAAATGTACAATTAACCAATGGGACAGTCAGATAATAAATAATAATAAATACTTTCCTGTTACTGGCTGTTGACTCTGGAAAATTTTTTGGACGTCCGGATTTTGCAAATACCCTCTCAAAGACCTTGGCTCCTATAACTAACACCGTAGGTTCTCATGCAAGAAATCTGGGAGTTATTTTTGACCCGGCACTTAAATTTGACAAACAAATAAACAGTTGTCAAATCAGCATTTTTTCAGCTTAGGATGATTGCCAAAATCAAATCTTTTCTTTCATTTAAAGATTTAGAAACTGTTATCCACGCATTCATTTCATCCAGACTTGATTACTGTAACTCATTGTATTTAGGGGTCGCTCAATCTTGTCTGTCTCGCCTTCAGTTGGTCCAAAATGCTGCGGCCAGATTTTTAACAAAAACTAGGAAGAGGGAAAATATCACTCCTGTTTTGGTTGGTTTGCATTGGCTTCCCATTGAATATAGAATCCAGTTTAAAGGTATTACTATTTGTTTATAAGTCCCTCACAGGCCTGGCACCAAACTATTTATCTGATCTTCTCCCCCATTATCAGACCAACAGGCCATTAAGGTCATCAAACACTTTGTTGTTGTCTGCTCCTAAGACACGTTTAAAACGTAAGGGGGATCGGGCATTCTCGGTGGCAGCACCTCAGTTGTGGAATAACTTGCCTCTTTACCTGCGATCGGCCACTTCTCTTCAGGTTTTTAAATCTTTAGTAAAGACATATCTTTTTAAAAAGGCTTATGGGCTGGAGTAACTGCTGTATATAGTTTTATTGTGTGTATATTTAGTGTTGTGTATTATTTCTGTCACCTTTTTCTTGTCAATTTGTTTTATGGTTATTGGCTTAATTCTACTTCTCTGTGCAGCACTTTGGTCGGCTCTGTCGTTTTTAAATGTGCTATATAAATAAATTAAACTGAAACTGAAACGTTCCATGCACCTTGCTGATTTTGTGAAGGTCCACCAGAATACCCATAAAAATGCATGGGGCTCTGTACTTTTCTATATATATTAAATAGACAAAAAAAAATACGACCTTTTGATTTATTCTCTGATTTAAGTTTGCGGCCATATTGTACTAATTTATTCTCTCAATTTAATTAAATTGTGTCCATGATTTAATTGTATTAATACAACATGGCGACAAATTAATTTTAAAATTAATCAATTTTTTCTTCTGCATGTCATGCACAGGGATCTGTACTTTTCTATGACAAAAAAATAAGAAATTAAGTTCTCATATCTTTCGAGATGAAAACAGAATAGTAAGTAGGTCAAATCGTGACAGAAAAAAGCAGTCAAGAAAACAAGAAATAAATGCAAAATGAGGGAATACAAGGTATGAGAAGTGCATTTAAAGTCGAAAAGAATGAGGTCTCCATCCTTGGGAAGAACAGTATGAGATGGTACAGAAGTAAACAAGGATTTCTGATGGCAGAAGTGCTCATCACATACCATCAGACTCCAGCAGTGTAAGCTGAAATATGACCGTCATGCTTCAAAAACTCCTGCATCAGGCTCAAGCGACACCCTTGCACTGAGACGTTTCAAGGTCGGGCTGTTCTAGGACGTGAGAGATTGACAATGCCATCGTTCCTGACAAAATCAATGTGAACCAGGAGAGAGGAGAGAATTCAGATGAGTCCAGTGGATCCGTCGAGATGGGCTTTCCCCACAACTTGCACATTTGTTCCTCAAAATCTTGAAATATTCTTGGTGAGAACTACCCAGTTTGAGTGGTTTGTTTGTCTTGAGTTTTGAGAGGGTTGTGAATGTAAACACGGCAGGAAGAGGTTGTCGGCAAATGATTACTTCATTAACATTAATATGTATGAAGGGGCCTAGTGCATGTATCTCTATGGGAGATGGAAGGTTGATATGGAATCATATGAAAGCTGAATAAATAAGCTTTCCATTGATGTATGGTTTGTTAGGATAGGACAATATTTGGCCGAGATACAACTATTTGAAAATCTGGAATCTGAGGGTGCAAAAAAATCTAAATATTGAGAAAATCATCTTTAAAGTTGTTCAAATGAAGTTCTTAGCAATGCATATTACTAATCAAAAATGAAGTTTTGATATATTTACGGTAGGAAATTTACAAAATATCTTCATGGAACATGATCTTAATATCCTAATGATTTTTGGCATAAAAGAAAAATCGATAATTTTGACCGATACAATGTATTGTTGGCTATTGCTACAAATATACCCCAGCGACTTAACACTGCTTTTGTGCTCCAGGGACACTTTCTGGGAAGCAGATAACAGCCTGCTCGGATGATGACATGATCACTCGCTAGTAGGGCTGGGAATTGAGACCTTTAATTACATATCAATATTTCTAAAAAAGCTCTTTCAACTAAAGCTGTAGACTATACCGGAAACCCAAGTAAAACCCTGTTTTACTATTGTAAGCAACCGTGTCATTTTATCTTGCTTCTACAAGTCTCGTGACCAGTGAAGATTCACACCCCTAGCTATTTTTAAGATGGCAGTACTGACTTACAGAGATTGCAACTATAAACAAAAAGCATAGAAACTGCAATTTTGGTTAAAATGTAAAGTTGTAAAGATGTATTTGCACAGCAGAAGAATTAATTAGGGAAAAAATGTAGATAGAGAATAGTTTTGGAATCGGATCGGATCGTGAAGTGCCCGAAGATTCTCACTCCTAGTAAGTAAATAATCTGTAAACCAGTGCGTTTCTCACCTTGAGGCTGGTGTTGGAGCGAGGGTGGCTGAGATTGTTATATCTCCATGTGTCCGTTCCTGGAGTCTCCACAGCTTCCCTGTGCAGATCGGGGCTCATCACATCACTTCCCGGCAATGAAAAGATACCCAGAGAGACGGGGCGCTCCTTCCTAAATACACACACAAAACATACGACTGAACACTTGTAGGTGTGTGATATTTATTGTCTACAATAATATGGTAATTGTTGTTTTAACGATGTGCATGTTGACATTATCGAGTATGCATGAGTATATGCAAAAAAGTCATTCACAAAAGCATTCTCTACATGATAAAACCTATTAGAATGCAGTCAGAATGCCCCTATAGTTCAAGTTATGAAAGCAAAAAATATCCCTGTATGGGTTTTTGTTTTTCAAATTTATAAGATATGAGATACAAGTTATATCAAACAAGCAAGAGTGCCGTTTTCCTGAATATTGGCGCGTGAGTGTGATTGCAAATTTTGTATTGATTTTATATTGAGTTACTAGTTTAGACACAATAATCTGTTTTAGTCTGGGGGTTTTTTTCCAACAAAAATAGTTCCAAGCGAAGCCAGAGCAGGACATTTGTGCATCACAGAGCAACACTGCAGTGTTTCATTCCTGAATGAATCGTTTTTGAACGAATCATATGAGTCAATGATTCAATGATCCATTCATAAAGACAGTCACTTGCTTTGTTTCTAAATGAATCAGCCGTTTTGAATGAATCATTTGAATGAATGATTCAATGAATCACTCATTAAGTCAAGCACTTGCCGCCACCTACTGGTGGTTTTAGTGTTTTATTTATTTATCCATGACAGGCCCAAACCAGCCAAAGCACCAGCACAAAAACACACTCAGTAAAATATACTTTAATTATCGTTATCGAAAAAAAAATATCCCAAAAATATCGAGATACAATTTTGTCAATATCACACACCAATAGACACGAGCAAGAAACATTATGGATTACTTAAATTTTTTTCTCACCAATTTCATATCAAGTATTGGATGGAAATGACACTATATTGCCACCAAAAAACACTATATTAACATACACACCATATTACCTCCAAATGCACCATTTTACCACCAAAACAAGTTTCTGAGTTACATTGGTTTCACAGCTTTTTTTACATTGCTTTCTGGAGAAAAACTCATCGCCACCATGTTACAATTGGACTGACAACTTTCCCAGAACTATAAGGGGTTTCTAAGGCGTTTGGACTGGTAACTAGGGTGTTGCCAAGTCAAAAAGCCAAGTCAAAAGTCGTTATGTTTTTCTGATCCTTATGCATGCCTCAGTACAGGCCTTCTGGATGTTTCCGCCTGCAATACAAAGTTTTGGGTGCGAGAAGTATGTGCCTTAGCAAACAGCACTAGCTCCTCTAGGAGAGCCGAGGAGCGTTTGATTGATGGGACTTTTCTTTTGTCTTCTCTGATTGTCTCTCCTCCTGTTGTGGGTTGCCACAGAGCTGCATTGAGAGCCTGAACCTGCTGACTGCACATTCAGAGCGGATCTGCTCACATGAGCAGGATTTACTCTATTCTGCTGGAACAGTACAGTAAGGAAAGTGTAAAGTACGGTTTGGAAACAAGAACCAGATTTGAGGAAATGTGGATTCAAATACTACCACACAAATCTGTGCTCTATCTCTACCGAGGAACAAGCGTCCCAAAAGTCAAGTGCACCTCATTAACATGCGTTAAGTGAAAATAAAAGGGAGTAAATGCATGCATTTAGGCTTGCATGGAAAATCGAAGCTTTATACATCAGATAGAGCTCCATGAATGTACATCAATACTCATGCTTGTGTAATCACACACGTCACGCAGTAAAGGTCCGAAGTTCAACTCGTGAAGAGCTATTACAGCACAGGCAGTTTCTGTTTCAAGTTATTTATAAAAGCAGAACTAGAAGTAATCTTGCCAGAAATCGGTCAAAAGCAACTAATATGACTGTCTGCATTGGAACAAGTCCAGCTGTTTTCAACTAAATCATATAAAAACTAGATGAAAAAGATTTATCTTAGATGGGCTCAGAAGCAAGCACAGTTTCCCTTTTATCAAAACATAAAAGCGAGTGTTTCATTTCTTGCAATGAACCAAAGCAAGCTGCTCTCTGGAGTCAGGATTAGTTGAAACACTCTTTCAAAATGATCAAAATCACTTTCATTACTCAGATTTAATCAATGAATATAATCTACTGGATTTCTCTGGTTACATTAGAATATCACACAGTCAGAAACAAGTATTTGTTGATTATTAAATAACATTTTTATCAATTTTTACTCAAATTATATTTATCAGTCTTTTATTCTGGCTCATGATAAGAGGTCTACTGTCAAACGTTTCCAGAATTACAGTCAACTAATTGTACAATAAATATTTAGCATAGAGACAATAATGTCTATTTTAGAACCTTTTGTGACACTGTCATAACAACTAAGCACATTTTGAACTCCAAATTGTCTTAATTATGCTAAAATACACTACAGTTCAAATGTTTGTGGTTGGTAAGATTATTTTGATGAAATACGTCTCTTCTGCTCAGCAAGGCTGCATTTTTGGTCAAAAATACAGTAAAAATTGCGCAATATTATTATAATTTCAAACAGCAGTTTTCTATGGGAATCTCTGTTAAACTGTAATTTATTTCTGTGATGCGCAGCTGTATTTTCAGCATCATTACTGCAGTCTTCAGTGTCACATGATCTTCAGAAATCATTCTAATATGCTGATTTGCTGCTCAAGAAACATTTCTGATTATTATCAATGTTAAAAACAGTTGTGCTGATGAATATTTTTGTGGGAACCGTGATACACTTTATTTTTCAGGATTCACAGAAAGTTAAAAAAAACAGCATTTATTTGACAATTTTTTTGTAACATTATAAATGTCTTTACTGTAAAGTCCGTTTCACATTGAGCACGATTGCGAAAAAAGCGAGGCGAATCGCCGGCGAACGTTGCTTTCACACCGAGCACGAAACGATTGATCGCCTTCTGCTAATTCACGCCTGCACGCTAGGTGGTGCCGACTAGCAATGCATTTTTACTCAGATATGTATCTCAAATATGGATTTAACATCGTCCACTGCTCAATATACAGCATTAAATATAGCTAAATAAAGATTGGTTCTACGCCAGAAACACAAACTATCTATAATGCGTACAAGAAAACATCTTAAAATATAAATACAATTAGCATCAAGCCATATTTGAAAATGTATGTGATTATCGGTTTTGCTTAAAACCCACTATAAACCATCATCGAGTGCTTGTAATAACTTTCGATTGTGATCTATAGTTGATTTTGATTCTATAATAGGCAGACATGCGCTCTTTGTAGGCTATGTTTAATAACGCCACACTGCTTTTTGTCATAAACATCCTTTAGTGTTATAAAATTACCATGAGCTGCGTACAAAACACATACAGAAAATATATCGTCATAATCATATGTCTATTTGCTTTCATATTTCATGTGTAGAAAAAATGCACGTTTCACTCGTCACATACAGAAATATATCGTCAAAATCATATGTCTATTTGCTTTCATATTTCATGTGTAGAAAAATGTTTCACTCGTTTTTTTAAACACGGAAGATCTAGAGAGTTAACGTGATTCATAACACCCGCGCACGTGGAAGAAATCGGTCACTCCAGATCATATAATTCAATGGAGAATTTAGAAATTATATTAAGAACATGTGAGAATAAATCTGTTCTCAGATACCAAAGATAACAGGAACTCGGCATCCACTCTCTACCGGGATACTCTTCTTCGGTGTTTGTTTACACTGGTTTTCGAAACAGCGCCACCGCTCTCACCCTTTTGTGCAACAGCAGCTGCTCTGGGCACGTGATCTAAGCTCAAATCTGATTGGACGGCCCGTTTTATCGTTGAGCAACGGGGGAAAAAATCGACACACAGGACGAAAAAAAAAACCTCGCTTTTTCGCACCGCGAATGATCACGCCTGGTGTGAATAGCCCCATAGGGATCTATTGTTTCGATTCAAAAGCGTCATCGCGCCGAACATTCACGCCGAATTAGCGCTTTCAGTGTGAAAAGCCCTTAAGGCTGTCAAATCTATTAATCGTGTTTACATAATATATGTGTGGGTACATGCATATATTTAAGAAATATTTACATTGTGTATATATATATATATATATATACACATATTTATATATGATTTATATTATAAATAAATATAAATATAAATTACATATACTTCTTATGTGTGTGTGTATTTATATATACATGATATACATATTCACACAGTACATACACGTATATTATTATGTAAACAAACTTTTATTTTGGGTGCGATTACTCACGATTAATAGATTTGACACCTACTTTACGGTCACTTTTGATCAATGTAATGCATCCTTTCTGAATAAAAGTAATATTACTGTCTCCAGACTTTTGATTGGTAGTTTTACTAGTGGAGGCCTTATTATCTTTAGACAAAGAATATATATATATATTTTTTTTTTTTCTTCTTATTTTAAAGCTCAGGTTACAGTGTTTACAAGTTTTACAATTCTAATCACCTGAAGACAACACTACGACCATGAAACCAGTTTAACATCTCCAAACAAACAACAGAAAGCTCTTCAAAGCAGCAAACAATATCAGGTGTTCAGTTGCAGCTGTGCTGAATGCAACTCTAGGAAGTATGGAAGTACAGAACAAACTGAAGCCATAGAGAATGAACAATACGCATTTCTCTGACAGAACCCCAGACAGAAAACTGCACTGTGTTGACAAGAGAAATGCTCGATCCACTCTTGATTACTACATTCTCTCGACTCGTCTCAGAGGTAACAGACACATGATGAACAAGCAGTGCATGATTGCAATACAGAGTAAAATCATGCACGACATCAGTAACGTACAAAGACCGACCGACAGAAATGCAGGGAAAACAGAGGCTTAACATGAAGAGGATCAATAACTAGAATAACAAGGCTAACATCCACAAACACACGCGCTGTGGCTGCGTACCTGCTGATGCGGGGCAGGGAGTGTGTGATGGCGGGCAGGCCGTTAGAGACGGAATAATGCACCAGCAGCAGAACGGAGAGAGAGACCAGCACGGCAGAGTTGATGACCACCGCTCCCCCCACGAAGCCAAAGACAAACAGCAGCATGCATCCCGGACTCATGGCTGCTGCCGCCCCCCGATACACGAAAACAACCCCATCAACACCGGCACAGCAGCGTGAGGATCTGTGTGTGTGTGTGTTTGAGCAGCCTCTCACTGATGTGACATCATCCACTCCGGCGAGCAACGAACACACACACACACACACACACACACATACGCATGAGCGGCTTTACAGCAGCTGTCTGTCCTTGTGTGTTGCTCACGCACTCCTCTGATGCCTCATGAACAGCTCTTATGCACTAATTCTGTATGCATTTTCTGTTTTCCATTCCACAGCTGATTGGATGTGGGAACAGATGCGTTTATGCAGATTAGAGAGAACAACAAACACACTCCAGCTCGTCTCCAGAGTAGGGTTCGACCGATGTGTGTTTTTCAGGGCCGATGCCGATACCGATTATTACAGATCAAGTAGACCGATAACCGATATTTTGAACTGATATATGTGTCTGGTGTAAAAATGAAAATTAATGTCAAAGTTAAGAATAACAAAGGCTCTGACAAAAACTTTCTTTAAATGCTTTTCAATTATTTTAGCGGAAAATCGGTTTAGAAATGACCGATAACCATAAAAAAAGCTTAATATCGGTGCCGATAATCGGTCAACCCCTACTCCAGAGAAAACAAAAGCACAATCCACCTGCTAACAGGTGTCAGGGGAATGAATCCTGGACTTTGAAGTGCATGCATTGTATTTACGCAATTTAAAATAAACAAAATGCAGCTTGTTATCTGGCATTATGCATATTAAATACAGCAAGCTTTTTCTGTCTTTAACACTGAGTATAAAACTATGGAAGCCCATTTCTGCCACTGAATAAAATATAAAAAAAAGGTAATTGCGACTTTTTATCACGCAATTGTGATTTTATTTCTCAGAATTGCGACTTTATTTATCAGAACTGTGACTTTATATCACACAATTCTGAGAAAAATGTCAGAATTTTGAGATATAAACTCGCATTAAATGATATAAAAAGTGATATAAAAAGTTGCAATTCTGAGAAATAAAATCACAATTGCGAGATATAATATAATTATGAGTTTATATCTCGCAGTTCTGACTTAATAACTTGCAGCTGCGACTTTATATCCTGCAATTCTGACTTAATTTCACGCAATTGCGAGTTTATATCAAGCAAATTCTGAGAAAAAAGTCAGAATTGTGAGATAAAAACTCACAATTACCTTTTTTTATTTCTTATTCAGTGGCGGAAACGGCTTCCATATAAAACACATTGTTCTTTAAAGTCAATGCTGGAATAAAAAAATAATTAATTGTACAAAAACAAAAATGTTTTGGTGTTAAAATCAGCTTGAATGTTGAAGGGAACAACTTTTTATACCACATACTAATGCTGCACGATTATGACAAAATTCATAATTGTCGATTATTCCCTTGAAATTGTAATTGAGATTATTAATGATTACGATTATCACAATATTATTACATTGAATGATGTTTATGCCATTGTTTGAAACAACCGCATGCCATATTTTTAGATGAAAATAAGCTGAAAACACTAACTGAAAAACTTTTATTGCTTTTCTATTGTATTAAGCAGCAAATGTCAACTATACATTGGATTGTTTTTTTTTTTCTTTAAGTAAAAGAAGTAAAAACATGCATGGTATTATAATGTTATACTAAAACTAAAATTAAAACAATGGAAAAACCTTTAAGATAACCTGTAGAAAGAGAAAAAAACACATCTTAAGCACGCGGAATAACAAAAGTGGACTTTGAACGATTGCCTAATTTGATTAAATTGGGCAGCCCAACCACACACTGCTGTTTTTCCGAACACTTTGATTCGACACGATCACATTTTTTAAATAATCCCATAATCCTCTCAGCAGATGGATCCATCTATAAACCAACAGTCGTGTCCTTCACAAGCAACACATGATTCTCACTACACTTGTAACATGGTTCAGTCCAGCACGGGGGTTTTCAAACTGTGGTCCGGTCTGAAAATTTGACTGTAAAAAAAGCTTATTGAATTTAACATTTATTATTATGGTTTCATTCTGCTTTCTCATGTCTGAAAATCATAAGATTAATTGTGATTACTTCATTCTACGACAGTCACAGTTTTAAAAAATAGTCCATAGTTATATAAGATTTTTTTAAGGAACTTAATATTTTAATTTAGCAAAGATGCATTAAATTGATCAAAAGTGTCAGTAAAGATATTTATAATGTTACTTACAAAAGATTTATATTTAAAAAAATGCTGTTCCTTTGAACTTTCTGTGCATCTGTGAATCCTGAAAAATACAACGTATCACGGTTTCCACAAAAATATTGTGCAGCACGACTGTTTTCAACATTGATAATAATCAGAAATGTTTCTTGAGCAGCAAATCAGCATATTAGAATGATTTCTGAAGATCATGTGACACCGAAGACTGGAGTAATGATGCTGAAAATACAGCTGCGCATCACAGAAATAAATTACAGTTTAACAGATATTCACATAGAAAACAGCTGTTTTAAATTGCAATAATATTTCACAATTTTTACTGTATTTTTGATCAAATAAATGCAGCCTTGGTGAGGAGAAGAGAGACGTATTTCAGAAACATTACAAAACACAAATCTTACCGACCACAACCTTTCGAACAGAAGTGTAAATATTTTACAGATATTTTGTATAGTCAAATGAAAATATAAAAGCCAATTAATTTAATTTAGCAAACAACATGTTGTCTTTATAATATCAGCCAGCCATCACTGAAACCCTTGTAGAAACCATTAATTACAGCTTGCTTTATACACACAGAAACTGTGTAGGTGTAGTGTTTCCGAATGAGAGCGAGATCAGAAACCTCACCTAATTCTGCTCTGACTCGCAGTGTCTGTGGTCTCTCCCGTCATCTGTTGGTATTTGGTACGTTCCAAGTGCTCCATGTAACTGTGGATCATCTGTGAATGCAAACACACACACTATTGGTTGATGACAGCAGCAACCTTTTCGGCCCTAAATGCACTAAAGGAGTCTTTTGACAACACTAATGCAGAGGCAAGATGAAAAGAAAAAATGCCATCGAAACTTTTCTAAAGACAGTAAGTTCCCCTCAGACATACATTCATATAAACTACCCCTAATTGAATCGCAATTTGTTTAACATCTCAACCGATTTGAATCGTCACATATTTGAATCGATTTTCAACCGGCTCGCGGTTCACCGTTACATCCCTAATATATATCTTCATACAGAAAGAGTAAAAATGTAGACGCATCGGTTCTGCTGCAGGCTATAGGATGACTTCAAAATATTTAAATCGTTATTAATATATTTTTAAAAAATCTAACTCTAAATTTAAATGCTAAAAAGTAAAAAAAAAATCATTGTGTTCTTATTGTCCCTCTATAGCTATTGTTTATAATAAAAAGAGCATTTAGCACAGTTCTTGAAACTTCTGGAATCACAAAATCAATCATGGTTAATTAGTTAAATATATTGACACTTCCAGTTTCTGTTCAAAGAAAAAAGCTTTGTTATAGTTAAAGTAGAAATACTGGCAATATCTACGGTGAAAAAGGTTGAGAAGCACTGAATTTTAAATTAACCTTCATTTCATATTGAACAGCCATCGCAGATTCTAAATTTCCAATGTAAGAACTAAACAATAAAAATGCAGCTAAAATAATGAATAATTCGCTCCGGTGAGAATATGCTAGTCTTGTGAGAGCTAAGTTTTGTTTACAGCTAAGGAAAACCTCACGGACGTGCGTATGACAGTTAGCGGAAGCTAGAGATTACGGTTTATAAAGTTTTAAATATGGATATTTTTATTACACAAATGAATCGTTTCGCTTCAGAAGGCCTTTATTAAACCCCGGAGCTGTGTGAGGCACTTTTTATGATGGATGGATGCACTTTTTTGGGCTTCAAAATCTCGACACCCATTCACTGCCATTATAAAGCTTGGAAGAGCCAGGACGTTTTTTAATATAACTCCAATTGTAAAGAAGAAAGTCATACACACCTAGGATGGCTTAAGGGTGAGTAAATCATGAGCTAATTTTCATTTTTGGGTGAACTGTCCCTTTAAGGCATGTTTTACACAATGTTATTCACTACATGAACATGGAGAAGTTATATTTGTAATTAATATTTAAATTTACACTAACCATCTACAATCATTTTCATTGATATACACCAATATAACAATACAGATGAATAAACAGTAGTGCTGTCAAGCGATTAATCGCGTCCGAAATAAAAGTTTTTGTTTAATATAACAATACAGATGAATAAACAGTAGTGCTGTCAAGCGATTAATCGCATCCGAAATAAAAGTTTTTGTTTACATAGTATATGAGTGTGTACGGTGTATATTTATTATGTATATATAAATACACACACATGCATGTATATATTTTGGAAATATTTACATGCATATACATTTATATTCTTGTATTTTATATTATATGTAAATATATTTAATATATTAACATGACATATTTTTATTAAATATATGCATGCATGTGTTTGTATTTATATATACATAATAAATATACACAGTACACACATATACGTATATTATATAAACAAAAACTTTTATTTTGGATGCGATTAATCGTTTGAAAGCACTAATAAAAAGCAATATTTTTTTTTTTTTACAACACATAAATAAAATTGATGTAAGATTTACATAATTTACTCAGAAATTTCACAAATAGTTCCAAAAAAAAAAAGAAAGAAAAGTAAGTTGAAAAACTGAAATGGTATTTTCTTATTTTCTTACACCTTTAAAAAAAGATTGGTCTCTTTTAAAATGTTATTAAAACAGCACAAGGATAACTTCAAATAAACAATTTTTTACACAAGCAAATATTTGAACGAGTTGTTAATATTGAGCACATTACCCGGCTCTTCGAGGTAAAGCAGGTAACTTACTCTGGTCTGCGTAGTTCTTGGTCTTGAGCTCCATCTGTCTGGTTTGAGCCTCCAGCATCTGCACACGGTTCTGAAGATCTTTCTTATCCTGCTCTTGAGAGTCCTCATACTCAATATATCTCTAGAGGAGACAGAGAGAGATTTTACACACTGAGATATTTCTACAGGTACACTGTAGAATGTACAGTGGGTACGGAAAGTATTCAGACCCCCTTAAATTTTTCACTCTTTGTTATATTGCAGCCATTTGCTAAAATCATTTAAGTTAATTTTTTTCCTCATTAATGTACACACAGCACCCCATATTGACAGAAAAACACAGAATTGTTGACATTTTTGCAGATTTATTAAAAAAGAAAAACTGAAATATCACATGGTCCTAAGTAATCAGACCCTTTGCTCAGTATTTAGTAGAAGCACCCTTTTGATCTAATACAGCCATGAGTCTTTTTGGGAAAGATCCAACAAGTTTTTCACACCTGGATTTGGGAATCCTCTGCCATTCCTCCTTGCAGATCCTCTCCAGTTCTGCCAGGTTGGATGGTAAACGTTGGTGGACAGCCATTTTTAGGTCTATCCAGAGATGCTCAATTGGGTTTAAGTCAGGGCTCTGGCTGGGCCATTCAAGAACAGTCACAGAGTTGTTGTGAAGCCACTCCTTCGTTATTTTAGCTGTGTGCTTAGGGTCATTGTCTTGATTTAAAACAGCTGTTTTCTATGTGAATATCTAACAAACTGTAATTTATTTCTGTGATGCGCAGCTGTATTTTCAGCATCATTACTCCAGTCTTCAGTGTCACATGATCTTCAGAAATCATTCTAATATGCTGATTTGCTGCTCAAGAAACATTTCTGATTATTATTAATGTTGAAAACAGTTGTGCTGCACAATATTTTTGTGGAAACCGAGATACATTTTATTTTTCAGGATTCACAGATGAATAGAAAGTTCAAAAGAACAGCATTTATTTTAAATCTGTTGTAACATTATAAATGTCTTTACTGTCACTTTTGATCAATTTAATGCATCCTTGATAAATAAAAGTATTAAATTCTTTCAAATATATATATAAATATACACATAGTCACCACTGACAAGCTACTACTAGATATATTGTAGAAACTTGTAGAAAATAAATTTTCTGTGAAGCTGCTTTGCAATTGTATCGTGAAAAGCGCTATACAAATAAATAAATAGATAAATAAAAGTTTCTTTGTAAAATAATTTTTAATGTGTATTTACGAAGAAAAACTGAGAATTGCTAAACTCCAATATCCAGCCAATTTGCTAAACCCACAGCCAAATGTTCAGTCTTTTCAAACATCATTTCAGCCACTTATTCAGTGTTTTTGGGCAGCCACATAAGTATAGCTCACATGGGACGAGTCTCTCAGGCACAAACAGCCCGATCAGGCCTCTGGAGAACATAAGAGTCAAGTGAAAACACAAGGTCAACACAGCAGTCAGTGGACGTCCGAGTGCGATGCGAACCAGGGGTCATTTCTATAATCAACTCTTTCTGCTGCCAGCAGAGACACACAGCTGAAATCCCAGCAGTGGCTGAAGTCTAGAGGACCAACAGCTGCTGGAAAGTTTGTGACTCAGCTGTGACTCAAGAGTGGACGTTTGCCCGGCTTACTCACTCCCATTTCACTCTTTCATATGCCAAACACGAACACGCCAGTGATGGGCGAGGTCTGTGGGTACGAGGGCAGCTGGGAGTCTCCTTCCAGACTCCAAACACACAGCATGTCCTCACCTCTATTGTTAGATGTCACCCAAGCCCTGCAGCCACAGACGCAACGGACCACGACACTAATATCTGCGCTAACCGCCACTGTTTGTGTTTGTCGTGTGCGCTTATGCGTGGGTGCAAGTCAGCGGCTTAAAGGTGCACTAAATAGTTTTTTCATATAAAGAAATAAACAGTATTGTGGACAAATAATATCCCCCACATAAAATTCAGAATAAATTAATCAAGGATGGCAAATATGCATGCAAATATGGTGCATTTACAATAGCATGAGTAACTGAAAGTCGCCAAAAGAAAAAAAAAACAATTTTACAAATGAATGCATTTTGTCTGGAAAACAACTGACTGAAAAGACTGTTCATTATGCATGAACTAATTATTCAAATTACTATACATTTATATATTTATGCATTACATATATGTGTCCCTGTAGCACAAAAGCAGTGTTAAGTCGCTGGGGTATATTTGTAGCAATAGCCAACAATACATTGTATGGGTCAAAATTATACATTTTTCTTTTATGCCAAAAATCATTAGGATATTAAGTAAAGATCATGTTCCATGAAGATATTTTGTACATTTCCTACCGTAAATATATCAAAACTTAATTTTTGATTAGTAATATGCATTGCTAAAAACTTAATCTGAACAACTTTAAAGATGATTTTCTCAATATTTAGATTTTTTTGCTCCCTCAGATTCCAGATTTTCAAATAGTTGTATCTCGGCGTTTATGCTTAAATCGAGAGAAGCAGAAATCGTAATCATGATTAATATACGATTCATCGTACAGATGGATTATGCAGGTCAGAAATAACATGCACAATTTGAATGGGAAATGCATAGACTTGTGACTGTAGTAGTGAACTGGAGTAAAATCTAATAAGAGCATTAGCAGCCAGAGCACAGGGGTCTCGATTTATAAACACACTATACTATACACTACACTGAAAGAAGCACTTGTGCAGAATTCACTTCGAAGCAGCCGAAGCGCCACAGGCTTGTTGAAGCGTCCGTGTTCAGTTCATCATATGATCTGGAGCACAGCGCTCATATGACAGCGGAGCAGAGGAACAGCGTCTGGCTGCATACAGACTTCAGGCTCTCTGCTCCACATAATATCCCCATTGTGCCGCCACGGATAGAGGCTGCTGTGTAGCGCCACTCTATTGATAGAGCTCTCTTTAAGTCGACTGCGCCTTCACTACACTTCCTCCGGGGCTCAGAGCCATCGCTCATAACGGCCACGGGATATATGCTGTGCTAGCTGGCTTTCGCTCGGGAGTGCCTCTCTTCGGTTATCTGAGCCGAGCGTCATGCATGGATTCATTGGCTCTGAACTGGGTTAGGCAGAGTCACATGAGGTCAGGCACGGACAGGGTGATGAATCTTTCACACATGCATTAAAAGGCAGCAAGTAATGCTTACATTTTATTCAGACACTCAAACTGAGCAGATGCTGATATTTATATGATGAAATTCTGATGCGTGTAACGTAAATCAATGAGATCTTTATAACAGTTATATCAGTCGTCGCTCTATATCTGCAGTAATCTGTCTCAGTAAGATGAGATTGAAATGATCCAAACATATAATGCAGTGATTGAGAGCTGAAGAAATAAAGGCTCCTCAGAAGATGTGAGATGTTCTGGAGGCTTGTGAAGATCATTCCTCCGCTGAGGAACAGTGAAAGTAAAGCTTCTGGAAACAAACAGTCTTTAAGGGGGTCACACAGTCAAATGTCTGTGCCATTAAACCAGATGTGTTACTCTTCAGATGCATATAAACATGTTTATATAATCTAACCTGCTCAGCAAGATTCTCTTCAAACTTTTTGGCAAAGAAACCTGACTGTTCATCAGGCCTTTGCTCAAGATAATCACGGTTTTAGGGTTAATATCAATAGCAGTCCAATATCACAGATGATTATGCATAATTAACATTGAGAACACAATGCATTTGTGCTGCATTATGAATTGCACTCTGACACAATTGCTCGGCGAGTCAATGCTGTGAATACTGACAAACTCTTATGATGTATGCAGTATCCTACAGTGTGCCATAAAAGACCTCTCTGGCAATGAGAGGAAAAACTATCTGATGTTCTGCATGACAGAAGAGTTTGAGGTCATATAGCAGGATTAAGGCACTTAAGAGATGTTCTCGCACAAAGGTGAAACTTGTTTGACAGCAAAGCGCTAACTTGCTCAAGCTGTAATCAGTTTGTCACATTAACAAATAATCTGGTTTTAGCATGCACACAGAGACACAGGATTACAGTAACAGGCCCATGATTTTAAACATCTCACGAACGTCCAGCGGAAAGCTCAGTAGCATACAATGAATAACAAGACAGCAATAACATCAAGCTGAACAGAGGTGCAATTAGTGCAATGCAAAAAAAACAGACAGAATCGCGGAAAAGTCATGGAAAATTAAGAGTGTTTAGCTGACTTAGACATATTGTATAATCACATTACAACTACAAGACACGGCTTGCTCGACCTGACAGCTGTTAGTGTGTCTATAACAGAACCACTGGCAAGCACGAGTGAAGTAATGTGACCACTGGAAACATTCTGCATGAGTCTATTTCTGACATAATCATCGTTTTGCAGGCTATACTTAGTACAGTAACAGGCCCATGATTTTAAACATCTCACGAACGTCCAGCGGAAAGCTCAGTAGCATACAATGAATAACAAGACAGCAATAACATCATGCTGAACAGAGGTGCAATTAGTGCAATTAGTGCAATGCAAAAAAAACAGCCAGAATCGCGGAATCTAGTTATAAAAATGGAATTTAGAGTGCGGACTTCACCATTTCATTTGAGAAAACTATCGGCAGATACACAAAGAAACTTAATTTAACTGGTATCTAAAAAAAGCTTATTTATTAGAATACAAGATGACATGGGTCAAAAACAATGATAACAACAACTATTTTTTTTAACGCTAATCCTTAGCGTTGAGCCCTAATGACAAGAAAACATGTATTTCTTGAGTTGTTCTAGTGGACTGTACTTGCAGCACGACCAGTGTGATCTGATTTACAGACAAATCTTTCTTTTAAAGCGGTAATTAATTCCCAAACCTTTTTGAAAGCCGAACCCCTTTGAGACAAAATATTTACTTTAAGTGCCCCCTAAAATTTCAGCTTAATATTTCAATAATTTAACAACTAATTTGCATGCTCACAGTTCTCTGATATTGGTTAATGGTCACATGACATGCAGGTAAACAATTTTTTTATTTACTTATTTTCATTTAATTTTAAATTTTTTATTAATTAATTATTTATTAGCTTTCCATCAACTCAGGAACCCCATTTTGAGAAACCCTGGCATAGGGAAACATTTGATAAACACGCGTTTGAATCATCTGCCGAATCATTCTCTGAACGAATTCCTGAATCTATCAGAGCTGTTCCTGAATCAGCGTCTGACTCAATACTGCACTGCAGCTTATCATTACTTTCAGAGTGTCGTCATCTCAAAATAAAGCTTGTTTTGTGTACTTAAGGTTCTTGAAACTTAAATCAGTATAATACTGACTGGTTGTTCATATGATGCAGCAATAGTCATCGGCAGATGTTATTGTTGAAAGCTATCTGAAGCATTTAGAGTTGGCGATTCACTGATTCGGACTGGAAGGTTATGGTTATTAGTGTTTGATTTAATGTCTTCGCTATATAGTATAGTGTGCCAGACAGCAAACATCCTTTATGCATTTAAACGCCAAAGCTGTGATTTAGGACACTTTCCACAAGTGCACCATTGATGCATTACCGTAAACCCAATGCACTTGCATATTTTCACTGTCACAATCTTAACACAAATTAAGAGTGTTTAGCTGACTTAGACATATTGTATAATCACATTACAACTACAAGACACGGCTTGCTCGACCTGACAGCTGTTAGTGTGTCTATAACAGAACCACTGGCAAGCACGAGTGAAGTAATGTGACCACTGGAAACATTCTGCATGAGTCTATTTCTGACATAATCATCGTTTTGCAGGCTATACTTAGACTCTGTGGGGTTTGTCCCTTTGTACACTGTATATGCCACTTTACAATGAACCAGTGCACGTCTAACACGTCTTCCACAGGCTTCCCATGTGTCACATGATCCTTCAGAAATCATTCTGATATGCTGATTTATTATCAATGTTGGAAACATTTTTTATTTTTTTTGAAACTGTGATACTTTTTTCAGGATTATTGAATGAATAAAGTTAAAAAGAACAGCATTTATTTAAAATATAAATATTTTCTAACAGTACAAGTCTTTATTATCACTTTTTATCAATTTAGCACATCCTTGTTGAATAAAAGCATTTAAAATATATTAAAATAGAAAACCGTTATTTTAAATTGTAATAATATTTCACAATATTACTGTTTTTTCTGTATTTCTGATCAAATAAATGCAGCCTTGATGAGCAGAAGAGACTTCTTTAAAAAACATCACAAATCTTACTGATCCCAAACTTTTGAACAGCAGTGCAGACAGGAATAAAACTTTAAAGTTTAGTATAAGTTACTTTCTGGCTGGTTAGGAGAAGAAAAAAATTGTAATGTAATTTAAATCTACAGATGCACATAGATAAAGTGCGATAAAATTAACTCTTTAATGTGTATTGTGGATGTTTTCTGTATTACTAATACAGCATAATATCTCCAGTGCATAAGAATCAGCACACTTTATAAACGCACGGAGTCATAATGACAATCAAGGCAGCGCAGACACTTCAGGGGTTAAATCTGATCTGAGACCGAGATGAACTGTTTCTGTACAGCTCTGGTTGGATCTCTGGCTCTAGGAACTCTTCTCCTGAAGTGGCCTAGTCTCTCACCTCCTCTTTGCTCTTCCTCAGCGCTTTCTCCCGCTCGTACTGGGTGACGAGCTGCTCGTTGTCCTCCTTCAGCAGCTCCAGCTCCACCTCCTGCTCCTGGTTCTCCGCGAACACCGAGTCCAGGTTCTCCAGAACCGCCACGACCAGCGGCATGAGCTCCTTCACCACGTCCTCGTCGTATCTGCCGATCATCCGCTCGAACTCGCGGTAGATGGAGCTCGCCAAGCCGGACACCCGCTCGGACATCATCGCCGAAGAGCCCGGGTCCTCCTGGTAAAGGACGTCGTCCTCCAGCTCCATTTCTCTTGGTTTGTTGTTGATGTTTTCCGAGCTCCGTCCGAAGTCTTACGCTACTTTAAGACGCTAACGTTAACTCTCCAGATCTCCGTTTACTTCGCGACGTCTGCTGTTCGACTTACATTTACGAGGAACTTTTAGGAAACCGCTCCAACACCGAGAGAGACTAAACCTGCTCCGTTGCCGAGCTAACCGGTCCCGGTCCCTCGGGGACAGTTATTTGACCGGATAATCTGCACTAAACAGCAGTGGTTAAGTACAGTCCCGACGGGAGACGAGACTAGTGGACTCTGAGCGCAGGGTTGCCAGGTTTTTACAACAAAACCCGCCCGACTGCTACGTAAAACGAGCCCAATCGCGTTCCGGGAGTAACAAAAGACGTTTTTGGTTGGAATTCGCATTCCAGCGGATAAATATCACGTTATTGGTGTCGCTTCAACCCGCGGCAACAGCGTTAAAGTAGCCCGATTCCGCGTGGGAAAACCGCGGACCTGGCAACACTGCGACCGTCACGCGATGACGTCACGGCCCAGGAGCGCGGTGGGCGGGGCGACGATGCTGTTTGTTGACACCCGCAAAACTTTTGCTATCTGCTTTGTTTATTTGACTCTAGCAGTTTGCATTTAAATATTTGCATATAAATAACTTTTTAATTGAAAATTATACGTGACTTCCTGCACGGGTCCAGAAGGAATCAACGAGTGACCACAGTTTCTACGAACTATTTTCACAAACTATATAGATAAATGGGAAAAAATGTAGATATATATTTGATTACTCCAGTCTTCAGTGTCACATGATCTTCAGAAATCAGTATAATATGCTGATTTATTATCAATGTTAGAAACAGTTTTGATGCTTAATATTTTAATTATATAATTATATATAATAATATATTTATGTGGAACCTGTCATACTTTTTTCAGGATTCTTTTATGAATACAGTTAAAAAGAACAGCATTTATTTAAAATATAAATCTTTTCTAACAATACATATATATACAATTTTTTTTATTATTGAATTAATTGCACAATGTGGCGATTAATTAATCCAATTAATTGCACATCAAATCCGGCCGAGAAATTACCCCCAAAAGATCATTTAAATTCATTATTGTGTTAAATGAGAAAATAATCAAATAGACATTACAAAATGTAGCTTTAAAAGAAATATTTTCATTTCTGGGTGAGCTATCCCTTTAAAATTTTTATTTCCATCCTTTTTTTAAAATTTTAAATATGAAATAATTTTTAATGAAATTATACTCTAAATAAGAAACTAAAACTGACAGTATGTGGCAGTAAATTAATGTGTTAAACAGACAAACTTTATATATATATATGTGTGTGTGTGTGTGTGTGTGTGTCTGTGTGTGCGAGCGAGTGTGTGTGTGTGTGAGTGTGTGTCTGTGTGTGCGTGTGAGTGTGTGTGTGTGTGACAGTTTGTGTGTGTGCGAGTGTGCGTGTTTGAGTGCGTGTGTAGTGCGTGTGTGTGTGTGTGTGTGTGTGTGTGTGTGTGTGACAGTTTGTGTGTGTGTGTGACAGTGTGTGTGTGTGTGTGTGTGTGTGTGTGTGAGAGAGAGAGTGTATATACACAACAGTTGTTGATCCAAGATTCATTTCTTCATGACAAGAACAAGAAAATAACATTTTTAAGTAATGCTTAAAAACTCCGCACTATCTACGATATTCTGGTCCCTGGATATAACTCGGGGTCCTGTCTGATTTATCATTCGCAAGAGCCACTTATAAACATGCACTTTATATAGTCTCACTTTTTCCAACATAGGACAGACCAACTCTTCCTCAGCATTTGTATTTTGGAAAAATGCATGACATCCTGAAAAAACAGAAAAGGCTGCAGTGGCGTAAACGAACAGACACTGATATGAAGCTCTCGTCTACATCAGAAGAAATGTTTTCATGCGTTTGGTGCCATGCATCAAAGTCTGATCACCCGATACTCAAGCGGCGAAGATACGCCACAAAAACATCACGCCACCAGGATACTGATAATACTGACTTTTTCTTGCTCGAGTCTTAATCGCTCATCTTAAACAAACACAAAAAATTAAAGGAACTCTTACAGCTGAACAACACAGAATTAAAAATAATGTCACATGGGAATATATGGCAGTTCATGAAGCCTTTAAAGGACATTTTATGCCCCTTTTTACAAGATGTACAATGTGTCTGTGAAGTTTCAGCTCAAAATACTCCACAGATCATTTATTATATCATTTTGAAAATGCCTATTTTGAGTGGAAGCAGAAACAGCTGTTTTTCGTGCCTGTCTCTTTAAATGCAAATGAGCTGCTGCTCCCCGCCCCCTTTTCCAGAATAGAGCTGC